TTCACGACACAGTGAGGCCTTTATTACTTTAAGGGCAGTATCAATGTCTCTACAATAGTTCTACATTCTATGATAACACATTTCTAAACTCTAAAATAAGCTAAACATTCTACAAGATGAAGTAAAAAGTCATCTGAGGCTTCAAAACAGTAATTCAAAAACAAGTGTCTGCCTATATCCTCTAAGGACGACAGTCAAAATGCTAAATTGGAAATGTCCATCTTTTATATACAGTATAGAGACAGGCCAGTTATTGGTCAGCCTGATTAGAGGGGCTGATATTCAGAACATTTCAAATCACTGGTGTTATTTTGAAATCATGGAAAAAAAAAAAAAAAAAGGATCATGGTGGCTAAACCTATGCAGCCTGCAAAAGAGAAAAGGTATGCTAGCAGCTAATTTAGCAGGCTGCTAATGACCATGTGATGCTCTCATGCCATTACATCTGTTACTATTCTTTGTTTTGATTTCTTTAAGAAAGGGAAATCCACATGTAAAATGCAATGTGAAAACAAATCTACAGAAGCGTAGCTCTCAGTACAGAGAGAACACGACAAGAAATATGACTATGATTTCTCCAAATCCCGACAGCATGCAGACACCAATATATCGTCATGTTTGCCCATCTTCAGGAATAACAGCACCAAGTGTAAATGCAGATCTGATCTAAATAAAAGCTATAGCTGAATCCTGTATCAGGATAAGCTATATAGTTTGTGCATGCATAATTTAGATATTCAGTTATCATGTGGTGGAGCTAGAAAGCATGCATGCTCAGGAGGTCTCACCTGTGTCCTGCGAATTAAGCACCTCCAGTGCATGCATCATGGCACTGGCAAATACGTTTGCATCCTCCTTGCTACCAAAGTTGAGGCCGTAGACTTGTCGGGCATCACGCCACTGGTGGAAGGTCTGTGTGGCCTGGTTGTACTTCAGCCCCTTGGGAATGGCACAGTTTATCACCACCTGCAGACATCCGTGAATCAGAAGAGAGAGGAAACGGAGACAAGACAGGAGAGGTTTATGACTTCAAGTCTGAAGGATCATAATAATAATAAAATAAAATATCTCCAATTAAAACACAATATGTCAACCTTGTAACACTGTCGCCTGTTATGTTGTTTAAAGTCACTTTTACTTCCTCGTAAGTAGACTTTATGATCCCCTCACTCTGTGTCTAATTTAAGGCACTTTAAGTGTTCACATCTGAGGTTTTTACTGTTCGGGGCACACAGCCAAACAGTAATGCCTCAAGGTACTCCCTGTTAAATAAGACCAATAGGGAGGGGTCCCAAACCATTTTCCCTAGAACCTAAAGGAACTGTCTGAACATTTTCCTTTTTCTACTCACATGCAAAGTCAAAAAGTATTTTTAGAAAAATCAAACTTTTGAAGCAACAAGGGGAAATTACTCACATTTGACTTGTGTATTGGCTCATATCACAGTACAAACATATTCAGTTCCATCATCAGAGTGCCTACACAGCTGAAGCTTAAGTATCCATGTAGTCCATATGGATAATGTGTGTATTTTTAAAACGTAGTTAGGATTCTGTTTAGGCTTGAAGTCAGGGATATGACTTTAGTATTTTATTCGTTAAGTTTTAAAAAAAATTGATATATTTATCATTATTAATATTATTTATCATTATTATTGTAGCAATATTTCATTCACTGGAGCCTGACCATCAGATACTGGCATTTTAAGACAGACAGACACATTTTAAAAACCACATATGGTGAATGATTATTCTTTCAGACCATAAACCATATGGTCTATAGATACAACAGTGTCCAAATATGACCTTTTGTGGCTCAAAAGCAGCCAAAACTTTAATATCATGGCTTCAGTTTGCACAGTTGAGAAACAAGTGGTGATGTCACAATGGGTGGCAGCATTCTCCAAGTTACCTTTAATTTCAGTCATCACGAGGAGAAAGAGTCATGAGTCCAATACGATTCCTACTTCATCCTAAAAATAACATTACAATACTGTTTTCCCCCCTAACAGCTATGCTTCTGTGGCCATCCACAAGCTCCAACACATCCAGAACTCTGCTGCTCGTATTATCACCAGGACCCCTTCCATCCATCACATCACTCCTGTCCTGCAGCAGCTTCACTGGCTCCCGGTCAAATATTGCATCAATTTCAAAATACTCTTGTACACATTTAAGGCTATTCATCATCTCTCCCCTCCATATCTCTGTGATCTGGTTCAGATCACCATCCCATCTCGGTGTCTCAGATCTTTCTTCTTTCTCTCTCTGTCCCCTCTCCCCGTCTCGCCACCATGGGGAGCAGGGCTTTCAGCTGCTCTGCTCCTCGACTCTGGAATTCCCTACCTCCTGATTTAAAAAAAAAAAATCATTTCCTTCTCTCTCTTTAAGTCCAGACTCAAAACTCACTTGTTCAAAATAGCTTATCCCGCATAACCTCTCCACTCTATTTTAAATTTGTTTTTATGTGTTATGCTTTTATGATTGTGTAAACTGCTTTTATTACCGGTATTCTGCTGTGTACAGTGTCCTTGAGTGTTCTGAAAGGCACTTTCAAATAAAATTTATTAATATTATTATCATCATCATTATGTCCCTCTCTATAGTGTCTTTGCTATGTCCGTCTTTTACAGTTACTGTATTTAAGATTTCTGAACCGAACAAGCTTCTAAAACCTTTGAGAAGGCTATTAAGGCTTATTAGTATACATTATTTGCAGTAGATTTATTGGATTGTTAGCATGCTAACTTGCCTTCTCTGCTGTTAAAGTCCAACCTCTTTTTCCCCCACAATGAAAGCATTCATATTTGAAGCATCATAATCAGCATTATCAGTGAATTCTCACACACACACACGCTTCATTTTGTTACAGTTCATCTGATATAGCGGATATACCCTGAAAAGATGTGTAATGCGGTTTAATCTCATAATCGCTGTGCTATCTCTCGTCCAAACTAATAAGGAGAATAAATTCAAAACATTCCCCAACAGGGACCCAGCAGCTTATCACACAGGGCTTGGTGGTGTGTTTTGATTTCTGCCGCATCCTGATTTAAATGAAGGATTACTGTACTGTACTGACACTAGGGCTTAAAGGTAATATTGCAAAATACTTCAGAAGACGATACTGCTACTCTGGTCAAAAAAAACAGCTCTATGAGTGCTAATACCTGTAATCAATCTGCTCATTTATAAAGAAACAAGCTTTAGCACCAGAGCAGACATTTATTTGACTATGGAAATGGTCTGTTGTCGATTTTTGAGTTTTTGCTAATGTGTCTCTGGTAGGCAGGAAAGGATTCCCATATTTGCTTTGTATTGTTGATGGACTGGATAAGATGACAAGCAGCAAATGTGAGGAGGAACTGTGTAACTGCAAATGTTTTGTTGTGGATGGCAGTGAAACAAATAGAGGAAATGGTAAGATAGGCAGTGCCACACAGTGAGAAATCAGGCTGAAGCCCAAGTGTGAAGCGCCAACATAAACACAGCCAGTCCAGCCTCTGACTCGCCCATGTTTTTACAGGCCTCATAACTGAGGATGCGCACACTCCAGCCAGTCATTTTTAGCACGTCTGTATTATGAATATGAAACATGTGTTCCCTGATATTAATGAAAATCCACTGTCTAAACGCTCCAATTTGCTTTATTAGATATGTTAAAATTCCAAATGGTTACCAGATCGGAGGTTGGAGGAATGGGAAGCTGCCATAAGCATTGTTCACTAGCCGAGTTTTTATACACAGATTTTGTGGCATTCCAGAAGAAAGCTAACCAACACCAAAGGTTTAGTGCAATTTAGTGCGAATGTGCAATAAATGCACATGCAGAGCACACTGACAGCTGTTTGCAAAGGTTTGCGCAATAAACACAATTCTGAACTCATACATTCAGCTCATCCCTCTCACACATTGCATTTCCTGCAGGAATGTTTGCCTTTTCACAATTCCACAGATTTGCCCCAACTTTTGCATATAACTGTACCCACTGTGCCTCAGCTCTGATTGGGATGCTTTCATCTAAACTGAGGATTATTGTCAGCTTCGGGATTATTGCTCTGAAGCTATGAGCCATTTGAGCTAATCTGAGTTTCTTTCTGCTCAAATGTCCTCACCAGGACTCTGCTGTGTAGGACTAAATCATTATGTGTTCATACATGCATGGCTTGCTGCAATAAATATATGATGGTTACTTATTCTTACAAATAAAAGCTAACCAGGCAGCACGATGTGCTGACATGCACAGAAAAAAGAGGAACAAGATGGTCAAGAAGAAAACAGTTGAAGACTCAGAATACAGGTTCAGTGGAAAGTCGAAAAATATTATGGCAAAGTGCAAGTAACTCAAGGTTATTTCCATCCTTTTCTGTTGTCACTGAATAAAGAAACCATGTCATTCACGTGTGAATCTACTGAAACACCCAGTGGGTCACAGCATTTGGCTGTTGCTCTCTGAACCTGGTTCTGCAGGAGGTTTCTTCCTGTTAAAAGACAGTTTTTCCTTTCTACTGTCAACCATGTGCTTATTCATACGGCTCATGTAATTGTTGGGATTTTCTCTGTATTATTTAGTCTTTACCTACAACACACAATAAAATAAAAGGCAACTTCAAGCAGCAGTTGTTGAGATTTGGCACTGTATAAATAAAATTAAACTGAACAGACCAGTAAAGACAGCATTATAAAGTATAACTCAAATTTGAGCACTCAAGTAACTTTTGCAGTTTTTTTTCCACTGAGAAAATTTACGTAAAACTACAAAATAACTACTTAACACTTTTGATTAATAATAACTAAAGTAATTGTAAAATACTATCACATAATAAAACTTGAATTATTTCTACGTGTGACGTTGCATCTTGAATTGAGATTTTTAAACCAGCCACATTTTTCCACCATGTAAGCACATCAGTAATTCATATCCATTGTTTGCTCTTTGTGACACACTGATTCAAACTATCAAGTGTTCTAGTGACACTTGATGGAGTCATTCATTTGCACATTGCACGTCACACCTTCCCTTCCCAGCACAACAATCTTCAAAACTAAAAGGTATATTTGTAAAAGGGCTCCAAACAACTACTGGCACAAAAATCAACATGAATACTACTAATGCTGGTATGTCCCAGGGCAGGACTGGTCCAGCAGATGGACAGTTCTGTCTTGAAAAGGATCTGCTGCCAGAGGACACAGTCGGAGGTCAAAAAAATGTAATATCAGCACTATATCACTAACACAAATGTGATAATTGTGTCATTGTTTTTGTATGCTTATAGTCACAGACCATTTCTCCTTTTCAAATCTATATATACACTGTGATAGTAACAGCCCCGTCTCATCCACTGACCTGATGATCTTGGATCTTGCGTCCCACTACACGGAAGGCGTTGTTGCCCGTGTGGTGGTAAATGTGGACTCTGCTGAAGCCTGTAGAGCCACCGGCTGGGACCCACTTCTTATTGGCATCGTCATACACCATGACAGCAGCTCGCGCCTGGCAGATGCTCTGTTCACTGCAGGGACAAGAGACATAGAAAAGTTTATTCTACCATTTTAGAAATCCAATCTTTTTCAATCTTCCTTTCTTCTTTGAAGCAAGTTTTGTGAAGTGACCAAGTGCTTGGGACTGCAAATACAAAGATGACCCCACAGGTATAAAAGCAAGAAACTGAGAGCAGAGCACACAACACCAAAAACAGACTGTAAAATGAAATTAACTAGTGAATGTTTCATTGGCTCCACAGCTCACCAATAAACTTCACTACTTCAAGCCTAGCTGTAATCCCAGCAGATCAGCTGATGGCTCAGCCGGTACACTTCCACACAACATCTCATATTGTGAATGTCATTTCAGTTTTAGTCTGTGCACAACTGATTCTGCCTCTGCAAGCTGCCTGGCAACCCGCTCCCACCTCAGCTCTGACTTTTATACAGTGATGGACCTAATCAGTGTCATATCTGCTGTCATTGTTGCTTGCAGTCCTAACTAAACTAACTTTGTTGTATTAATAGTTTGGTATGTGGGGGTGAGTGTTTGCGCGCGTCTTCTCAGTAATCATTTTCTCCCTAATTGCCCCTATGTATTACATATCTCACCGTCTATCCCTTTTTTGCTGCCTAGCCTGACCTGTATCCACAATGTAAGTTTGTATATTGTATGTATTGTATGTATGGTCGACTAGGTGTGTCATTTCAGCTGCAGGCAACTGCAACCGACAAATACAGCTTATCCGTATCCTTATTTATTTATTTATTTATTTTTAAAATCTGTGTTTAACATGGTTCATACTCCTCCATAATCAAACATAGCAGTCTAATATCAGTTTAATCAAACATACCAATTCTCAAAGGCAGCAAGCAAATGCCTTCATTAGTGTTACTGATCAGTATTAACTAAATTCCCATGAACTTGGTCTGCAGTGCACAGACTAAAAGTCCACAGCCCTTCAGATGCCTCCAAGCTCCTCAGTGACACATTAGTAATCATCCATCTAGAGATTCTCTTAAACCAGCAAACAGCAAACCCAGACAGTATCCTACTGGTTGTCAAACTATTTCTTTATTATATACTGAGGTGTCAAAACTCGTCATTAAGGGTACAGGGGAGGAGATCAAATGTCCTCTTTACAGGGGAAAGAGTTAAAGACTGACAGTGAGGGGAGACTGCACATTTGAGAGAAAAGAAAAAAAAAAAAACTGCCTCCAGTCTTTTCTGCTGCGATGGCTACATCTGCTGCCACACAGCTGATTTAAGGCCTGGAAACTCTGCTGTGCTCACTTTTCACTGTAGCTATGCAGCTTTGGAATTGCACTTTCTGTAGTGGACACATGAACCTGCCTCCAAAATCACTCCAGAGGCTATCATGTTGAAATGCCCAAATTCGGCTATGAAATGTGCCTTTTTCAGCCTGATATAAAAAAAAAAAACAACAAAAAACTGTTTTTGCCTCTATGGACAGTTTCCACCTACATAATAATGGTACTGTGGTTTTGTTTTACATCTCATCAATCTGGTTTTACTTGAGGCTTAAAGTTAAGAGCTGTGGAGGCCTCTAATGACAAGTGTGTCTGCACAGTCAGATGTAGAGACAGCGGTCATTCAGGCCTCAGCACTGCTAAGTGTAGGTGCATTGGAATTGGACAGATTTTAAATGCAACTTGCCAACTAGGCTTGCTAACATCAGCTGAAACTTGGCTGCTTGCAAAACACACATGCTAGAGTGAGATGGAAAAATGATTTTCCTTTAGCACATCAAAAAGAAATCTGTTATACAAGCTTCCATATAGCGTGGTGACATGTCCTGGTAATTAATAAGCTAGGACGTAGTTTTGTATCTGCTCATATTCAAGGTTGCTATAGATTATTTTGCATCCATGCAGTTCGGAAACACACAAGCTGTTATATCATGTTTTTTTCTTTTAAAGGTCAAATTTAAAAGCAGCACAAGCCTGCAGTCTTCACGTTAACTACCCTGCCTTATAAACATCTATGTCTATAAAACACCATCTCATTGGCTTGTTAGATATATCTGTTGTCTCAAACCCAGTCTGACACTAATGACATCATCATTGTTTTCTCACCTACAGCCAAATATGGTGGCCTATGATATCATGAACCTGTGTGACAATTTACACTCTGAATACAAGCAGGCAAAAACGCAGAGGTTAAGACGGGAAACGGAGGGAGAGCTTGAGAGACAGGAAGTGTAAAAATGACAGGCATAATTGCTTGGGGAAGGGTGAAGGAGTGAAAAGAGTCAGGGAGGAAGTGATGAGAACAGGCCATATACACATCCTCAGAGAGTCGGCGTCAGTGTTAGAAATGCATGAAAATAGAGGCTTTACAGTGAGAAGAAAAACACATCTCTGAATGTAGAACACGAACGAGGTTCACACACAGACACACAGGAGTGCAAGCAGTCTCCTGCATATGCCAGAGCTACTTAACATGCATCTCACTCCAGGTTTCAAAGAATACTTCCCGAGACTGCTGCAAAGCATTTATCGCCAGTGTGTATTGTGGGCTTGTTCATACACCCATGCCTCTCCAAAGTACACACAAGGACACACATGCACGAGGTTCAGGCATCCATATGCACAGCTCCCCGCATTTCCAGCTCTCACAAACACTTTCACGCCTCTGCTCAAATGTGCTTCATCATGGTCGAGCTGTGGTAACACCCCACAGAAGCTGATGAACTTACAATATGATTTAATGTCAAACCTCTCTGAAGATGCACCGAGACTTCACACCTCAGCCCTCACCTTACATCAAACTAGTAAAAGCTCTGAGCTCAAACACACTGGAGCTGGAAATAAAGACAGAACCATTCATTCACGATCACTGCAGATTTTTCAATATTCTACGGGCAAATTACTCCAACCTTACGTCTCTATTATACTGGCCAAACGGAGTAAGAACGATTAACTTTTCTCCTCTGAGGCTCACAGCAGCAGCAGCTACAGTGATTTCAGCTGGGATTGGAAGATAAACCCACCCCTAGTCACTGGTTTATGTGCATACAAGTATTCAGACCGCACACATGCCTTTAAATTTCAAGTTGCATACTAAAAACTGCAAAGAGGGATGATACATTTCTGAAAACACCAAGTTTTCAGTCTCATGTGCTAATTTACTTCCTCTTAAAAACAAAGATTTGTTTTAAAGAAGCAGCACTGTAACCAAGTATTCAGTATTGTAATTGCTCAGATGATAAATTAACAGTTTTTAGACCTTCAGTCCTTTATGCTAACAGATAGCATAGTTGGGTTGGTCTGGTAGCTGGGTCTGACTAGTCAAAAAAAAAAAAAAAAGTTGCTTAGTCTGACGAGTTTCCTGTCCTGCTGTGACATTTAGATAGTAGAATCAGAAGTTTCAGTAAATAATACGAAAGCATGGATGCATCCTGACGTACATCAATGGCTGAGGATGCTGCTGGTGTGGAGGCGATTTTCTTGGCACACGTTTAAACACCACGGCCTACCTGAGCGTTTTAGCCAACCATGTCCAATGATCACTGTGTACTCATCTTCTCATGGCTGCTTCAAGCAGGATAATGCACCATGTCACAAAGATCAAATCATCTCAGACTGGTTTCTTGAACATGACAATGAGTGCACTGGACTCTAATTGCCTCCACAGTTACCAGATCGCAATCCAATAGAGCCACTTTGGGATGCAGTGGAATGGGAAATTCACAGATGTGCAGTCCACAGCCTTTTGACGGTATTGTGTCAGCATGGACCAAAAACTCTGAGGAATGTGTCCAGCAGCTTGTTGAATCTTTGCCATGAAAAATTAAGGCAGTTCGGAAGGCAAAGGGAGTCCAATCTAGTACCAGCAAGTGACAAAGTGAGATTTTGTTATTTTGTGTCAGTTTTCTTCTTGCTTTTATTTAACAGGCAAGTTTAGTCAGCCTTACTGTTTGGCTTTAGCTTTAATTTACCTTATGATTATAGCATTTCATCATCTTTACATATAAAACCATTTCAGACTTGCTTGTATACGGGAAGTTAGGAATGATTAGGACCCCCCAAATGCTATGACTTCATATCCCAGGACCTCCTGGAATTGTACCAATGGATTTGGAATTGGGAGAGTGACTGAATGCAGCCATTCAAAAGAGGCACTCTGAACCTCACAACTGAGCAGTAAAAAAATAATGAGAGAACTGGTGCATATTTTGGTTACTGTGGTCACTTTGTTTGGCCAGATAGGATGTCACATATTATCATAGCATAAAATAAATTCAAGCTCAGGACCACTGCAGACCATAGCCTGCAGGCTTTAAGTCATAAACTCTCACCACACTGGGTGCGCATGTCTATGCAATTTCTCAACATTACATTTTTGTGTGGTGAATGTAGTACAGCTTGCATGTGTGCGATTCGAAGAGATTTTGTGTTGAAGGTCCAAGTGCTCTTTGCAACCAATGTGAGCAAAGAAAAGGAATATGTGGAACCAAAAGAAAGAAAATGTGGAGAACAGATGAGCAGACATGACACAGTTGCTTTCTCCTAATTGGTCCAATCTCTGTAGGATAATTACTTTGACAGTTATGGTTCTTTTAAAGCAGACAGTCATCAGAGGAAGAACCTGTAAAATGCACCCTTATTTACATTAATAGCAATCCTAACTGAGATTGTACATGAGTATGTACATTATGTAGTGGTGAATTGTCTTTCGTCTTTGCAGCCAATTCAGTGATATGTCTCAGACAGTCACAGTGAAATGTAAGCTTTGATGGTTAAGTACTTGACCGGTGTAATCTAGTCCTGTTGACCCTCCTCGTCTCCTTGTTAACCCTTCCACTAAATGTATCAGCTACCCTCTGCCTGCCTCTCTACTGACACTACACTGCTACACTCTGTGCCTCTGTGCCAACATGACTGCAGAAAGAGCCATGCTTTTTCCTAAAAAGGAATTCTTAAATGCAACTACAGATTAGATTTCTGAGATTTATATTAAGTTAAATGTGCTGTATAAAATGTTCTTCTTGTCTGAATAGCAACC